ACGCCGACGGAAGCATCAACATCCTACGATCACCTTGTTTCGACGTAGGATTTGAAGACGAAACGACCGTGGAAGAGTACTTGGAGAGAGTCGTTCCGATCCTTGCAAGCATCTACGACCGACAATTCGCTAAGCACACTTGGAGTCTCGAGAGTCAAGCATTCACGCCCTCCTCGTCATCGCCAACCTCTCCGTGGCTCAAGACCCTTGGCATCGCGACCTTCCTCGTGGCATCGTTTGGTGTGCTGAAGTTTCTTCTCCCACAAAGCCTAGTCTAGTTGAGTGATTATTTCCCCAAGGTGAACTTCTCGTTATTAAATGGCGGATTGTTATAATAGCTTTTAGTGTTGCTATTATTATTTTGGTTTTCTGAAAGTTTTGGCTAATCTACATACTTCTTCGCCTAAGCTAGTTGATAACTACGAAATTTGAATGATTTTCTTGCTATCTCAATAAGATATTAATTGAAATTACGTTGTCATTCACTTTTAATTCTCTTAAGAAGCTCCTTCGCATGTTCGTTCCACATCATTTACACCCCACATGTATCCTTCTTCTCAAAGTAAGCAAGTTTAGGGTGTCTTGTTTGAGTCAAGTTTGTAAGTCTTTCATTTTATAATATTAAAGTTTGTTTTGTTTAATTTGTCTAGTTTTGTGAGTTTTTGTAAGTTTCTAGATCTTAGAAAGAGATTGTTTTTGTGACCAAAAATTTGGGTCCCTTCCCAAATTTTTGGTTACATCAATTATTCAACACCAGTATCTTACAACATAAGGCTAATTATGTTTATGATGATAGATAATAACGAACTGAGATGATTTTTTCTAAATCTGTGTTTTAGTTGGATTGTGCTTTTTCTGAATTTTGATTGGAAGTTATAATTTGTATCAAGAAACAATATATGTGAGTCTTTTTTTTGAACTTGGAAGAAAAAAGACTCATTAAAGTGATTTATTTACATATTTATTTTTTTTAATGAATCTTCTTTCTCTTATGTATGAAATTCTTTTCTCAAATGAAAAAAAAAATAGTCATTTCATCTATTTTTAAGCTTGTTTTCTCGGCTTTCTACTATGCAAAGCAAACAAGCAACCTCTAAGTTAAATGGTATTTCTGATCGATATCAATACTTGAAATCCAAAGATGGAACGATTTTGTGGGTCAAATATTTTAATCTGGTTAGGTAGCGGGCCTGGTGCAAAAGTTACCTTTAGAATTGTAGGTTCGTGTCATGGAAACAATTTTGTATTTATGTAGGGGTTAGGCTACATGCATACGCCTCTACTCAGACTTTGCATTGCTGGGAGCTTCATATTGGGTATACTTTTTTGAATTATGTCAGTAAGTAATTAGAGCCATTTCTTTGGCTAGACTGTCCTCTCTTTTGAACCTTTAGGGGCTTCATTGGCAACGACATGGCAATGATATGATGCTGAGTTAGACAGTGTTATGTAGGTCAGCAAAAGAAAACCTCATGGACGCACCATGCTGATATCTTTCTCCTTTCTTTATCTACAACTTTTCCAAAATATGATCTCTTCAAAATGGTTCCGGGTCCTTTTTTTATATAAATTCCGCTTTTTAATGTTCCATCCACATCATTTTAAATAGTGCATGTGCAGATTTTATGCTGTTCCTGCATTTTATGCTCATGTTGCTTGTACATCTCGGGTGCTTGCTTTTGCTACTTGTCTTGTTATAGGTGTGCGTTTAGTAAACCTGCAAGCTTATTCTCGGTTGCTATTGTGTACCCACTGTTATACTGTTCTCCTGTAGTGTTCAGTCGGTTTGCTTCTTTTTGTCATGTTGAATTGATTCTGTTTTATGCACAAATATGATGCGTTAACTTTAATCACTAGAACTAATACATCATGAGAGTTAAATTGCACCTTTTTTGTGTTGTTAAGCACTTTGTTGTATCTTTATGCTTTCAAGCAATGGCCCCTTGAGGTTTGCTTCACATTTAAGATCGTATAGACACATTCAATTCTTTTTTTTTTCTTTACAGATTCAATGTTTATTCATGGATTTGGAGCTGCAACGCTGCAACCTTTTTTTAGCTGGCACGACTCATAACATCCAAGAAATCTCCTCATACTGCTGTTCACGCATTTTGTTCATCTGAATATTTAAGTATTCATAAACAAGGTTTTTTAATAGTAATAAAAATACCATTCTATATCAAACAAAGATCAAACCTAAGTTGAAATACTTTACGGTTGACATGATGATCCTTATTTCCTTAGAATGGAAGCCTTATCTGGCCAACTATGGTACCCGCATGAATGTGATACTAAATTGTACGGATAATCTAAATGCGTTTTTATTTTAAGTCCATTGGATATAATTTTTTTTGGATCTTTATGTTTGTGCTACAACTTTTTTTTTTTTTTACTGATACTAAATGTGTCATCTTGTTTAACAATTTTTTCTAATTTATTTCTTTGTTCTTGTAAGAAGGATCGGGAGAACATTGAACGTTTAGAAATTACTGGTGTTGGCGATCCATCTGGCCGTGGATTGGGATTTAGCTATGTTCGTGTCACTCCTAAAGCTCCTATTACGAGTGCAGTGGTGAAGAAGAAAGCAGCAGCCTCAAAAGGAGGCTCCACAGTAACTGGAACAGATGCAGACCTCCGTAGACTGAGTATGGATGCAGCACGTGAGGTGATTCTAGTCTTTACCCAAGCTTAACTTTTACATGAGCAGTTGTATATATGCCCCCATGCTGCCTTTGGAATTTAATCATGATAATGTGCTAATTGTCTTTACTCTAACCATGGTTAGCTATTCTTCTGAAAAGTAAAGGATTATGCTAATTACATTGCTTTTAGTATCCATTATTAAATCATAGCAGAAGTTAGTTTTTCAGAGTAATTTGAGTTATGATGATTATCAACTTGATTGCTTTGAAAAAGCCAACTACTTACCTTTGTAGCCTCCTTGATGTGCAAGAGAAGATTTGGATATAGTTTTTTCTTAAGGTTGATTAATGCGTTTAATCTGATTATTTTTTATATCAGATTAGGGTTTATTTATATTTGAGGTCGATACTTTCTATTAGTGCAAGCTCCCATAATTAAGTGCTCTTTTTCATGGGTGAGCACTCTCAGTTAAGGAGATTGCTTACACTTGATTTTGGGTATTTAGTTATTTAGCTGTTAGACGTGACTTTAATTAAGTGGGGAATTGATGCGGACATCCGACGGTGGACATTAATCAAAGGAAGAGACAAGATCGACGGCCGAGATTCCTCCATTTTAATCTTAGTTTATTAATTGTATTTTTGATTTAATTATGCATTTTCTATTTTAACTCTTATTTAAGGGTCTTATCTTATGTAAGCTCAAGGGACAAAGTTATCTTTTAGTTTCTTTTAAGGCCTATATATAGAGGCTCTTGCTCTTGTATTAGACAATGATGAAGTTTTAATAAAAAAAATTGTTATGCACTCTTGTTCTTTGGAGAGGACTTTAGTGAGATTCCCATGGGAGTGAATCGTAGTTTCCACCAGCCGCAAGATGGGTCCGGACTCATGGTTTGAAGTCCCTTGGTGAAGGGCAACGTATATCCCGTAAGCTATAAGAAGCGTCCAGGCTCACGGTTTTATCTTTTTCTTTGTTTTTGTCTCTTTTTATTTTTTATTTCCTTTAACCACCGACGAAATCTTCTCCTAGCCGCCGGATTTTTACCACCCATCCTCTTCCCCATCACCCTAGTCCACGGCCCAACCTCCATCGCTAGCCTCCTCCCCTCCAGATCCCAAAGCTCCTTCCAATTTTCCCCTAATCGCCGGCCTATCCAACCTTCCCCCATAGGATCCTCAATTTCCTCTTTCATTTATGACCTTCCTACTTTTGCCTCCCCAATTTTAGCACCAAATTTGAATTCAAACTTCAAATTTGAATTTGTTTCCTAAATTAGGTTCTCCATTTTAGGAAAGTTATTTAAATTAGATCCAATTACATTTCTAATTGGATTTGATTTAAATTATTTCTTCCTAAATTAAGATCCTAAAAAAGGCAATCTCTAAATCCCTTTCTGATGAGGACATCGTTCATAGATTCAGACATGTGTACCGGCGACGAAATCGTAGATCGACGGTACGATTCACCACCTCTACTTTTGATGCATTTATATTTTATGTTATGTTTGTTTGCTAGTTTCGTTTGTACCCTTTATTTGAGTTTAGTGCTTTGTAGCCCAAGGGGCGTATGCGTCTTTATTTATTTTCATTAGCAAGTCATATATATAGTGGCCAAAGTCTTTGGATCAATTTTGAATGAATATTTGAATGAAAATCTGATTTTGTCTTCTTCTTCTTTTCGAGTGTGCTCAAGAGAGAAGAGAGAGCCCAAGGTGTGGGCAAGCGCAATACCCATTAGTCGTTGGAAGAGTCCGCGGCTCGTGGTTTGAGTTCTTTATTTTCTTTTCCTTCTCTTCCCCACCACCACCACCGGCTCCTTCTTTCCCTTCCACCATCGACCCTTTCCCCCCACCCAAATCCTCCCCTAACTCCACCACCTCAAGCTCGAACCGATGGCCCAAGCTCTTCCCCTCCTCTCACCCGACGCCAAACCCCCTCTCCATTGCCCCCGGCCTTACCTTTGCTCCCCTTCAGTTATGATGAATTCAATTATCATAATTCCCTTCCAAAATTGACTCCAAGTACGAAAGGAAAGTAGCAAGTTTTATTTGAAATTCAAATTCAAATTTCAAATACTTTTCTAATTTGCCAACTCTAAATTAGGAAAGTGCATAACTCCAAGTCTATTTGAAATTCAAATTAGATTTGAGTTGTCATTCTCTTTCCTAAATGACATAAATTGATTTGGAAGTTACAAAACCTCTTCCCAAATCCCTCCCTCTCCCTCTTGATGCAGCCGGCCCATTAATTGGCTTCCCCCATGAATTTCCTCTTTAATCCCTCATCCCATTTGAATTTGAAATCAAAATTTCAAATTCCAATCCCTCCAAAATCACTTGAATCTGCATTAATTTTAGATTTATTCTCCTTTACTTCACCCAAATTCTAAACCTAATTTAGCCCTCAAGCCTCTATCTCCCCTCTCTCTATGGCCGGCCACCCATTGCCTTCCTTCCTTAATTGGGAGCTTAATTCAAGGCTCCAAATTAAGCCCCATTAATCCCCACTTTCCCTCCTAACGCATAAATTTCAAATTTCAAAATTTGAAATTATGAGAGCCCAACTCAAATTAAGTTAAGGAAATCTGAAATTAATTTCAGATTTCCTCTCCTAGCCTAATCCAAGCTCCTTATTCAAGCCGCTCCTTCCCCTTCTCCCTACCTTGGCCCCTCCCCTTCCCTTGCATCCCCACTCTTGGGAAAACTTAGTTGCTCATGAAACTTGAAGCCAAGAGAAGAAGACAACCTCCTCTCCCAACCTCATCGTCATTGGTGCATGGCTGATCCTGAGATCGATTACGGTTTCGCCTACAATGCCCTAGGAAAAATCAACATTCTCCGCTCCCCTTTCCCCTTTCTACGAGCCCGACTGGGAGTACGACGAACCGGTGGAAGACTACGTCAATCGCATCATCTACTGTTTAGCGGAGATGATTGATCTTAAAAAACTCAAGGCACATTGGCTAATCATCGGTCACCCACTGCTGGCTACTTGATGTAGGCAAAGGGGGGGGGTCAACTCAAACCCAAAATAAGTTGGATTTGACTTCCCTTGAGTTTACAAGCTCAATAAAATTTGAGCTGGAATTTAGCTCATTTATGAGCTGGTCTTTAGTTCATTTATTGAACTAAGGCTTAGCTCATTATTAGCTACATTTTAGTTCATAGTTATCTTAATTATTGTAATTTTTATTATAGTTTTTTTATGTCTTAATTTAAGTTGTCATTTGGGATTCCAAAATGGCTTTTGGGATCCCAAGGAAGTTTGTTTTCTCATGCCTTGGCTCCTTGGCTTCCACGGGTTGGCTGATTCTGTGCATGGGCTCCTTGGTTCTCACAGTGGCTGCTGGTTTTTCGAACTGGGGGCTCTTCCCGTGGCTTTTGGCAGCTCGGTTCCGTGCGGTCCCTTTGGTTCCCGTGGTTGCTCCTTCGGTTCCTGGGCTGGGCTGTTTTTCCGTGAAAAGCAATGGGTTTTTTCATGGCTTGTGTTGCTTGGATTCTTGTGGGAATTCAATGTTGTGTCTTTTTGTATTCCCCATTTCATACCTATAAATATGAGGGGTTATGTAATGTTTTAAGAAGTGAATGATAAGTTATTTTTGGAAAAGAAATCTGCGGATTTTCTTGGAGAAGCTTGCGAGCTTTGTCCACCTTCTTCTCATCTTCTTAGGAAATCTTTCGAGCTCTTTCCACCCTTCTTCTCGGGCTTCTAATCTCTTTCGTCTCTCCGCAAGTTTACACCCCACCTATATCCTTCTTCTCTAAGTGAAGCAAGTTTAGGGTGTCTTTAATTTCGAGTCAAGATTGTAAGAGTTCAAATTATTAAATCGTCGTTTGTAGTTTTAATTTATTCTTCTTAGTTTTATTTGAATTGTAAGAGTTTGCTCGTCTTATTACGAGCGTGTTGTCGTAGTAGTTTCTCCTGGTCTTTGTGGGCAGAGGTCCTCGGGTCCCCCATCCCCCAGATTTTTGCCCGCATCACTACTTCTCCATCAACGAGGGTCTTCGGCCCCGTCTTCCTAGTGGTAATATCTTTCCTCGTATGGTTCGTCTTTCTCCGCTAAAGCCTAAGAGTGGTTGAGTGAGAAGGTACTCAAGGTGAACCTCTCGTTATTAAGTGTTGGATTATGTTATGAGAGAGCACTCCTTTGCCTAAGCAAGCCGACTAGTTTGAATTCTAGGATCTTTCTTTGTTGCAAGCAATAATTTTACATTAGCAAGATTTAAATCAATTGATTTTTTTTTTATTTCCTTGCCGCCGGCCTCAAGCTTTCCCGGAGCTCCAAAGCCGCCGACCGCTTAACTCCACCATTACCTGCCGCCCATGCTCACCCCATCCCCACGCCGGCCACCCTTGGTACCTCTCTCAACCTTCACTTGCCACCACCACTTTCCTAAATTAGATTCCATAAATTTGGTAACTCCATTCATAATCAAATTCAAATCAATTTGAATGTGAAATAGTTATCTAATTTATAAAATCCTATTTTAGGAAACTTACTAAATCCACTCCTTTTTAAATTTTAAATTAAGTGGGGATGAGTTATTTCTTTCCTAACTTAATTAATAATTTAAGTAGGCATTACATGCATCATTAAACCCTTCCCTCTCTCTATAGCCTCCTTCCCCCCCTTAATGTTTTGAATTAGGAATTGTTTCCTAAAGCCCACCTTCTCTCTTGGAAACAATTCAAAACCCCTCCTCTCCTTGGCCGAAATTCCTATGCCCATGCCAATTTAATTTCTTTCCCAAAGATCTACTCTTATATTTTGAAATAAATTAAATTCCCCCCTTGCCCCTTTAATGCCGCCGCCACTCATCCTGCTCCCCTCTCTAATTATTAATCTAAGGATTAATTAGAGAGTGGTTGGATACAAATTCCCCCATGTAAGCTTCCCCAAAATCTGAACCAAAATTCCCCTAATCCTCTCCCCTCGGCCGGCCACCTTCTCCCACCTTTGAGTACTTGGATTCTTGAAAGAAACCCATTTCTTTCAAGGGGAAGCAGCAAGGATAGCAAA